TGATCTCACGGTCCGTGAGTTCGAGCCCCGCGTCGGGCTCTGGGCTGACGGCTCAGAGCCTGGAGCCTGCTTCGGATTCTGTGTCTCCCTCTCTCTCTGCCCCTCCCCTGCTCATGCTCGGTCTCTCTCTGTCTCAAAAATAAATAAAAACATTTAAAAAAAAAAGTTTTTAATGTGAGTATAATATATATTATTAGATGGAGAGTTTGGCATGGATGTTTCAGCAACTCACAGACTCCCAGTTCTGAGAAGACAAGACACTTAGAAGGAAACGGGTAGGTCAAAGGGTACAAAGTTTCAGTTATGCAATATGAGTAAGTTCTGGAGATCTGGTGCACAGCAGGATGACGGCGGTTAACAACACTGTACTGTATATGAAATGTGCTATGTGGTTACTTTGTGAGGTGAGGATACATTAATTAGCTTGATTGTGAGGATCATTTTGCAACATCTACTATATCAAAACACACTGTAGAGCCTAAATATATATGATTTTTATTTGTCAATTATCCTTCAATAAAGCTGAAAAAAGACAGACAAGAGCTACTCCAAAAGAAGCAGAAGCCTCAGGCACCACCTCACATACCAGACATGAGGAGGGTACAGAGGACTGAGCAGCCCAAGTTTGTGGAGTCAGACACACACTCCTTAAGAGAGAGAAGAAAGGAGATGAGGAGGCTCCTTCAACTTCCACCCACAGGCTGAGGAGTCCCTCAGTTGGCAGCTTAACCACCTCTCTGCACTCCGGGCCTCAGTACCCAGTGGTATATTGGACATACCCACCATCCACCAGCTAGAAATCTTTCCCCCTCCACAATCAAGCAGCTATCAGGCTTCACCTCCTGCTCATGCCTTGGCCACCCACTTAGATGGTCTCCACTCTGGTCTCTGCCTTCCACCTTTCCACACTTCAATCCACCTATCACATCAGATTAATGTATCTACGTCTCTCCTGCTTAAAACCTGTCCACAGTCCCTCAGAGCTTAAAGTAAAAGTTCTTGGATTTACACACAAGGTCTTCCAATTCACACGCCACGACTTTCTCCCCATCCACAGTTCCTACATTTCCTATTGTACATCCTGTGTTCTCCCAGCAGAATCCCTAACGAATGCCATGGCCATGTTTACAAGTGTTTTGTCTTCTCAGAACTGGGAGTCTGTGAGTTGCTGAAACATCCATGCCAAACTCTCCATCTAATAATATATATTATACTTATATGAAAAACTTTTAAGATCAGGGATGCCAGGCTGACTCAGTCAGTAGAACACAAGATTCTTCATCATTGGGTAGCGAGTTCAAGCTCCACACTATGCATAGAGATTACTTAAAAAAATAAAATAAAATCTTAAAAAAAAAAAAAACGTTTAAATCAATCCATCAATCAAGTGGGGAAGCATCCATCTGCCTACAGACTAAAACTCATGGAGTCCCTTCAACAGGGCCCCTCATAATCTTCTGAGACGCAGAAGGAAAGACATCCAACAAATAAAAGTCTGGATTCAAAGGACAGGACCAGGAAGAAGAGGTGAGAGACCACATCTATGTCTATGGTGCTGTGAGTGGCTGGATCATGTAATCCCTTTTACAGGAGAGACTGGAGCCCAACAGAGATCCATCCTTGAAGAGCAGGAGTTGTTACTGTGAGTCAGCAATAATCCATAGATCCATACAAATTATTCTTTTTTTTCTCACCCAAGTCCCTTAGTTTTGTTTTTTTTTTTTTTTTTTTTTAATGTTTATTTATTTTTGAGACAGAGAGAGAGCATGAATGGGGGAGGGTCAGAAGAAGGGAGACACAGAATCTGAAGCAGGCTCCAGGCTCCGAGCTGTCAGCACAGAGCCCAACGCGGGGCTCGAACTCACGGACTGTGAGATCATGACTTGAGCTGAAGTCGGATGCTTAACCGACTGAGCCACCCAGGCGTCCCAGTCCCTTAGTTTTTAAAGGCCCCAATTTAAGAATTCTGAATATGTAACAACACTAGAGCAACAAAGATGACTCCAGCTTTCCCATCGCTGGAAGGCAGCCTGGGTATTGTCCCCCCACCCAGGGCATCAAGGGAGAGTACCTTTCAGGTACCTTTCAGGTACCACCTCTAAAACTCAGCTGCCCCTCTGATCAATGAGGTGTCAAGATAAGAAACCTGGTAAAATCCATTCCTGCTTCTTAATGGCAGTAGAAACAAAAAAAAAGAGGCCTCCCTCACGGTGGAGATAGGAAATAGTCTAATGATTCTCTGACTCAGCCCAAGACAGGGATGATGTGATTAAGCGGCACTCAGGCTCAAACAAAGGAAACATTCTGCTCTTGCTCAGACTCCTCTGCTTTTGAATCCAATTGTCTCTAGAGTACTTACCCCTTTCAAGTGGCTCGGAAGCACTAAGTGCAATTCCCCTCCACACCTTAACCCTGTTCTGCACTCACACAACACCTTGGGAGCGAGCATCTCAGCCCAGTCTAGAGGTCAGACCAGGCTTTGCCCCCACACCTCTGTCAAGACCTACACCAAGATATAGGAAAGCTAAGTAAGATGCCATGGTTAGCTTTAGAAGAAATGAAAAACTCAAGGTCCTACAATCACCAATACCAACCCTCGCTCAGCTTCTTGGAAAACTGATTTTTGACCACCGGGCACATTGATGCTGATATGCATACGACAGTGTTATCTGTGCATCATCACCTGCAGCTTGGGCTATGCTTAATACCTCTATACTGGTTAAAAATAAGAATTCTCATCTCAGTCACCTCTAGGAAAGTGACCAGAAACTCACCTCTCTAGCATCAAGCAGGCACACAGGAACCAGAGGGATACTCACCCGAACAAGGTCCATTTCTGGGTTACTCTCCATGAAGGTCCAGATCTTAGGGCTGAGCTCTTCCCACATGCCTTCCAAATCATGAAACACAGCCAGTTCCTGAAAGGTCTTATTCACCTGGAGCCACGTAGCAAGTAGGGGCAACAGAAAAGGAGAGGCAGAACCATGAGATACGCAGCTGCCCTCTGACAAGATGCTCCATCACTATTTCCAGTCTTTCCCACACCCAAGAAGAATCTACCTGCAGCTATGATTCAAATACCCAAGGTTGGAGAGCTGGCCCTCCATAGTCAGCTCTGGCCTGGGTCACACTTGGGGTTCTCACTCTTTGGAAACCCCAGAATAGCCCCGAGTTTCCTCGATATAATCCATTTGAAGCCACCTTCACCTTTTTGCCCATAAATTCTAGGAGGATTCTGGAGAGGGACTTCTGGGCCCAGGCAGCTTACCTCAGCCATCACCTGCCTTGTGGCTGGAGTGTCAGGTGTATATAGGATCTTCCCAATAAGCAGAGGCTTTAGAGCTTTCCATATGATGCGGGAAAGAGGACTGGACTCCAGATTCTTCATCAAATCATTGCAATAAGGGGCTATGAAGAAGACAAAGGCAGATATGCATATGTATGGTCATATACTTATAGGAACAAGGGCTTTGGAGCTAGCCAGACAGTCCTGGGTTCAAATCTCTGCTCCACCACTTAATAGCTATGTAACAAATAACTTCACTTGCCTGAGCCTCAGTTTGCTCCTCTGTAAAAATAAAGTTATGATGTACTTGGCAGAGATGTGGGGAGCATTAACCGTTGTTATCTGTAGAGCTCCTATGACAATACTTACAAATAATCAGAGTCTATTATAACACTGATGGTGGATAACTCACAACCGAGATGATCTAGAAACAGGTTTTCACCATGCACACACCTGCATAACTCTAGATGCATACTCTTACGCTAGCCCTTGTCAATTTGTTTTCATTGAAAACAGAGAGCTGGATTTAGATTTTAGTTTTCAAGCAGAAATAAGACATTTCCCTTTAATAGGTCCCATCACAAGTATATGTAATAAATGTAATAAAAACCTCTAACTGGAAAATCCAAAGTTATAATAGACAGCAGGGCTTGATTATCCAGAAGGATTCTTGATTTTTTTTTTTTAATTTCATTCTGAGTTCTTTTAGGTACCAAGTATCCTCTACATGCCGCAAAGAGGATGTAATTTAAAAAGAAAAAAAAAAAAAGGATTTTTCTCACAGTTCTATCTGCTTTGCAAATGGAAGTTCCCTTGGGTTGACTTGCAAGTGAGGGAGTGGAGCGGATGGCATTTCAGAAAAATTGCCTATAATGCCATCCCATTAGGCTTGCAAAGCAACTGGCGATGTCTAGAGTGCTTTGCTCCAGAGAAGAATAAAAAGTTCTTGTGTTACAGTAATGCACAAAAAGCTGCCTCGCTCAGTGTCTGAAAGAAACACCTGTGGCTGGAAGTGGAGAAAAGCTCACTTGCATCATGTTTTCAAGGAAAAGGATGTCACTGCCTAAAACTGTAACACTGGTTCCATGCTGCCACCAGGCACAGAACACACATCATCACAAAACCGCCCAAGTGCGAGAAAGAGATATGGAGTTACAAGGTTCTTTAACACCACCGTGCAGCTAAGAAGCAAAAACAAAGAGCAGACCAAATGCCTGAGGTTGATGGTACACACACACCACCATTAACAGCTTTTTCAGAGGCCATGTGGTCTACCAGAAAAAAGCACGGGGCCAGGCAGATCTGGGCTTAACATGGGCTCTTGTGGATTAGCTATGGTGTGGCTTTGACTGAGTCACTTAACCTCTCTGAGCCTATAAAACGTGGGGTTACACAATGTTCCTTGCAGGGTTACTTTAAGGGTTAAATGAGATAATTTCAATAGAATGCCCAGTACATAGGAAATATTTCCTAAATGTTAGCTCTTATGGCTGTTATTCTGTTATTTTAAAGTTTTTATTACAAAGCATGCCTGTGAAAGGGAGGGGAAAGAAAAAGAAGACCCTTGATTTCTCTGGGAACTCCCTTCCTCCATCCCCCAGGAAACTGGGGAGGTTGGCTTTCAATCTCTCATGCATTTGATAAACACACTATGTACCTGAGATGTGCCAGGCCCCATTCAAAGAAGTGAGGACAGTCAACTGATAAGGAAAAGACTCCTCTAGGAGCTCCATCTGGTGGGCAAACAGACTCCTAAACATCCAGCACTGGGTCAGAGGATAAGGGTAAGCACGAGGAAGGAGGGACACAGGATTGAATCTAAACTAAGTGGGGGCTGGGGCCAGGACTGCCATCTGCACAGACACTCACTTGTAGAATTGTCATAAAAGGTGCCAGCATCTTCCTCAGTGCCGTTGCCTCCAAAGAGGGCTTTGTAGTTGTTGTCCTCGTACCAGTTGAGGGACTTGATCTTCAGGCCCCCACCCTCTGGATGGCCACACACAATGCGGGACACAGCCTGGTAGATCTGGGTGGAGGAGCTGGAGCTGTTCACACTGGTCAGGAACATCACCTCCTGCCGCATGTCACTCCAGCTGCTCATGCTAAACAGCTGGTGCCAGGGATGGGGGAGGGAAGTGGGAGGGAAGAAGGTGGGATGGAGGAGGCAAGTGGGAGGGAAAAGGGCGTAGCAAGGGTTGGGGGAACAGAGAGAAAGAAACATCTTATTTTCTTGACCTCTCCAAAGCCACATCTCAGAACATCTCAGTCCTGACCTCTTAGTCTTGTGATAGGATTGCCAGAACCTTGCAACTCCACCGGTGGTCCAGGGACCAGCAGCAAAGTTATCTGAGAGGTTGTCTGAAATGCACATCTAGATCCATCCGACTACAATTCAAATCTGCATTTTCACAAGATGCCCAGGTGACTGGTATGCAAATTAAAGATAGAGAAGCACAAGCTAGAAGTCAGTGAAACCCCTGGTGATGGGCTTTATTTCCTCTGGATTATCTTCTGGTTTGTAGAAGAGAATACTTATCCTGAATAGCCCTGTGTTTAAATACATCCATCAGGAACTGCTCACGCCCTCCAGCACGGACTCATTTCTAAAACACCTTAAACTTCCCTGTGGAAAGAGAGGAGGCCTCTGCCCCTTGACAGAAAAGGTACTATGTGTCAAATCCCCCATCCTGGTCTCAGTTAAGTGTCGGGGAACACAACAAGTATAAGGTGGGAGACCCAAGGCTGAATCCCAGCTCCCTGTCTCATTAGCTTACAGCCTTAGAAAAGTCATTTCTCTGAGGGCCCAACCTCTCACCAAGATGAAGCTAAACAGAGTGTGGAAAGGAGTAAATTGCATGAAATAGAAGAGAAGGCCCTGCAAAGAAATGCCCCTGCACGGAAGGAGTCAGATGCCCCAGCAGCCAGGGACGACATCTGTTACTTACACCCCAAGCACTTTGTCTCTTATACAAATGTTCTCCAGCACCTTGTAAAGTTCTCGGCCCAATTGTTCTTATCATTAAATATTTATCAAGCACTTTGCATTTCTACACATTTCACAATAAATCCATAATAAATCTTCCTTGAAATGTCACAAGTTCTCAGCACCCAGAAGACCGAGCCATAAAGGGCAGAGGGGAGAGGCTGAGGGGCCCAACCCACAGCCTGTGGAAGGCCTAGCTTCCAATACCATGGGCCCAGTTTTGTATCACACAGAGCCTCCTGGTTCTTCTGCGGAACATGGTCCTCGATGCTGTAGATCCTGACTTTGCCTTCTGCCTCGAAAGGGAAATCAGGCACTTCTAGGAGTAGGTCAGAGGTCACAAACATTTCTCCCTCCAAAGAGGGAGCGTGTGACATATACCACAAGAACACAATTAGGTGGCCAGCTTTTCCTTACTTTATCTTTTCATAACCCGGATGAGGTCTATCAACCGGAAGACAGAGGTAGCCAGACCTCCTTTTGTTGGGAGGTGAACAGCACCGGAGATTTTTTAATGAAAGTAAAAACCACTCATATCTCTTTTCACAGGCTGCCTCACTACCACCAGTCCACCATACCCCAACAGAAAGAACAAATTTCTTCCCATATAAAACCAGCACATCTTTGGACAGAGGCACCAGAATGACTGTTATTCCAAACTGGTGGCTCTTCCGGGCACCTGTCTTGGGGAAACTCCTACTCATTCTTCTACACCTCAGCTCAGGCTCCACACTTCCTCTGTGAAGCACTCCTCCTCACAGAGAAGGGTGGCCATTCATCCTCCAGCCCACAAAAGATGGTGTTAGATAATCACCTGTGGAGTCAATCACTGGCTGTCTGATCGCTTTCTCAAGACACTGCAATGGCCCCTTTTTCCTTGACCCCTGCCTAGTCTCTTCTCAATAGAACAGCCAGAATGTCAACAGTCTCATACTCCAAGACATGTCATGTACCCTCTGCTCCAAACCCTCCACTAGCTTCTCATCTCGCTTGGCATAAATGCGGCCTTACCAGTCCTGCAAGGTGCTCACCACTCCTTCTCTGACCGCAGCTCTGAGCACCTTCTCACCTGCTCATTCTGTCCTGGCCACACCACACTCCCTCCTGGGTCTTTAAATACATTCCTTAATCAGGTCCTTTCATCAACATCTTTGTTATCTGTGGCCCCTCCTGCTTGGAGTGGACAACATACGGTCACTTCTTCACATTCAAGTGTCACCTCATCAGAGAGGACTTCTCTAATGACCCCCACCTTTAAAACAACACCTCATCACCCTCTATCTTTCTGACCCTGCTTTATTTTTCTTCATTGCAGTATGCCTGCTGTCACATCATATGCTTCCTGTTTATTTCTATCTTCCACCATGCAAGCTCCATGAGAACAGGAAAGCCAGTGTGCTCACTGCTGAGACCCTGACATCGAGCAGTGTCAGGCACCTGGTAGGTAACTGGGATGCGGTTCCCTGCCCTGCCTTTCCAATCTTGTCAGACACACCTTCCCTGTCACTCAGATGTGGAGCTCATGCCCGGTCTCACTCATCCAGTTCCTAAAGTCCCCATTTCTACCCAATTGCCAGCCCTATTGTTGCAGATTTCCTTCTTTGAAGGATATCCTTTCTAGTCTAGTCCAGTTTCCATCAGAGCTCATCACACAAAAAACAGGCTATAGCAGCAAGAACGTGCAATTTGTAGTCTAACAGTCCTGAGTTCAAATCCCAGTTTTTGCCAATTAACTAACCAAGTGACTGGGCAAGTTGTCCAACTTTCCTGAGCCTCAGTGCCATCTGTAAAATGGGCACAGTAAGATCTATTTGTCATGCAGATGATACAGGGAAATTGGGTGAAACTGTAGGAATCAGGGGAGGTCCTCAGAAATTGTTACCTCCCTTTTCCTTTTCCTTTCAAGGGTTGTGCTTTGGTCAAAACATCCAACTTCCCTTCCAAACACTGAACAGATACACACGTGCATTTATTTACTTATTCTCTCTCATTTGTCCCAGGGAAATATCAAGTTAGACAGTAAGTAATCCATGATCGCAGGGACTTGAGGGTGTTGCCACTGAGAGGGGTGGGTGGCCCTTGCTTGACCTGGACCAGGGAGCAAGCAGGGCACAAGGAGGCAGCTGACAAGAAAAATAATATATTGCTCAGGTGGAGAGTTTCTGCCTCATCAGCAATGGGAACATCACGATTTCCACTAGTTTTCTTACCCAAGACAAAAGGCAGACCTAGGATATAAGTGAAAACACTGTACCCAAGGTAAAATTTAGAGACAGCCTCCCACATCATAGTCTCTGCTCTGCTTGCTCGAAGGCCGGGAGGGAAGTAGTACAGTGTAGGTTAGTGTCTGCAACAGGACCGTAGAGAAATGGCTATGGATTTACAGGTCAGTTCCTGTTTTTCTTTCTGCCTCCTGGAAGAAAACCAGGTGACCCAGATTCTCCACCCACAGAAAGGTCACCAGCATTCACAACCAAAGGAACAAATGGCAGGCTGGAAAGGACTTCTCCTGAAAGGGACCCAAAATGCAAGGCTCTTCAGTCAGACACCCATGAGCAGAATTCAAAGAAAAAAGAAAACTGAACTAAAAGCAATATGCCAAACTGTCGACACGTGTTTGATCTCTGTTTTTCCAAACATCCTGCATTCTCCACAATGAACATACAATACTTTTATTCTCAGGAAACTAAATTTTGGCACTCAAAAAAAATTTAACAAATACCAAAAAACGATTTAGAGAAGCAACTCAAAATAAGGCTGGACCAAGTTTGAGAAGGTTATTCCTGTCTGATGTCCTGGACATTCAGGCTTGATTGCTTCTGACCGCCACCCCTCAGCTCAGCTCCTTACACACTGGGCTCCCGCTCCTCCTCTCCAAGTCTAATCTGAAAGAAGGTTGGGTGTCACTAAGGTGAAGCACACACCGGCTGGCAGGCAGAGGGAAGGGTAAGTGATTTTACAAGTACCTACAGGCCTCCTGATCTTGTGAATAGAAGATTGGTCTAACACATTGGTCAGGCAATATGTGGACCCGAAAGGCAAACTCAACTTAATGTTCGTCAAGGAAGGACATTCCCAAAGGTGAATCTAGAGGCCAGGTGTTTACAGGGAAAGGTCTGAATGAGGGGTACATAGTTCATAAAATGACTGGCCTCACTATTAGAAAAGAAATACGGAGAAATGTTTGGTAAGACAAATGCAGCACATGGATGATGACGGGAATAATCCTCTTTACCAAGGAGTCATTAACTAGGGGCAGAGAATAACAATGAGAGAAAGTTCTAGACCAGGTATCGGGACTTTAGCCACAAACTAATTAGCTCTGAAACATCTCTGCATCTTGGTTTCTTCATCTCTAAAGTAAGGAGCTCAAACCAGTTAATTTTTAAGATCACCGATGCTTCTAAAATTGTTTTTATGTTTCACATGATACTCAAATCAAAAGGACCCTCTACGCCAAACTCGGGGTGGAAAAGAGCCATAGTGGATGGTCTGCCTCCTGGTGTTAGAAAGACACAACTTACCTCTTGGGCCAGAGTCCCAAGACTATCCAGCAAAGTTTTTGTGGCCTTAGTCAGTTCCTTGCTCAGGACAGGAGATGTATAGTTTAGTTCTGTCTGCAATGAGAAAAAATACTTTGTTTCTAGGTTCAAATGTAAACCTGAAATGTCTATTCAAAATAAAGTTAATTAAAACCATTCACCATCTTGAGTTTAAAACACAAGAAACCTGCTCCTAACCAAAGTAAAGACACTAAAATTATTCTAACTGCAGGTTTGCAAGTTATTTCAGATAAGAATTACTAATGCTTTGATGAATGCTTTTAAGTAGTGTAGAAATATGTATTTAAAACTAGTTGATATGCAATCGATAAAAATATCTCATGCTGGGGATGTGTGTGTGTGTGTGTATGTGTGTCTGTCCAATTCAACTTTGACCATAAATTCCCAAATCTGCAAGATGAACAACAGAAGAATGACTTCAAGAAATAAGTTTGTAATGGCTCACAAGAAAGGAAGAAACTGAAGTTGAAAGCTGGCAAAAGCATGGAAAGGAGAAATTCTCCCATTCTGCTCAAGTCAGCACTATTTGTAACACTGGAAATTTAATACAGAATGCTTATTTTTATGCCTACTTTTAGCCAGATCTCTGTATTTACTCCTGTGTATATTTCATTGCTGTTATAGCCCACCTAGCTTCACAACAAATGTAAGAAAATAATTAATTGGGCCCAAGGAAAAGGTAAGTTAGGGCAGCAAGCCTAAGCTAAAGAAGAAAGAACAGTGATGCACAGACTCCGAGGCCAGAATTCCAATAGCTGAGGAGCCTAAAATTTAGGTTCTGGGTTTTTAGGCTTCCAAAAAGAAAAGGATATAGGGCCAGTTTCATCATTTTTATTTGTTAAATAGAAAAACAAAAGTCTTCAGGGAAAATCCATCTTTCCTTGGTGCTTCTATAGGCACCATTTTCTTTAATATCAGACACCTCTTTAATCTAGAGGAGGCTGGGCTTTTTTGCTATTTGTCTTCTATAGGGGCATGTTGTGAAATCATAACGCACACTGCAAGGAAAATAGTCTGAAGTAGATGGAGTTCATCATGATCTCAGAAACAGCAGCCTGGGGAAGGGTTTCCTCTAAAAAGAACTCTAAATACAGGGGTGCGTGGGTGGCTCAGTCGGTTAAGCATCCGACTTTGGCTCAGGTCATGATCTCACGGTCCTTGAGTTTGAGTCCCACATCAGGCTTTGTGCTGACATTTCAGACCCTGGAGACTGCTTCGGATTCTGTGTCTCCCTCTCTCTCTGCCCCTCCCCTGCTCATGCTCTGTCTCTCTCTGCCTCAAAAGTAAATTAAAACGTTTAAAAAAGATTAAAAAAAAAAAAAGAACTCCAAATACAGAAGATTAAGTTCGTATAATCATGACGATCATCATGTCCAAGCATAATCCTGAATGTGTGTTTCTGATAAAATCTGTCTAAGGGTTCTAAGAAAGAATTTGTCCAGCCCGACTCATGAGCTCCCCTAGAACGGCTTGGTCACCAGGGTCCGCTTTCCCCGACTCCCAGTCCTCGGATGGGCCCTTCACCACTATACTCAAGTAGGTCTCCTTGACGCAACTCACAGATTACGTTAACAATTGGTCCTTCCATTAAGTAATTATGAGCAAAAACAAGTAGGACATTTTTGGGTTTTTTTTTAACTTCCTTACTTCAGGTTCACATCATAACTAAAGGTTATCACCTTAAAAGTCGACCCTACAGAACCTACAGTAAGGAAAACTTTTACAAACCAAGAGATCTTAACTGGAAGGCGGAAGAGGTGAAGTGTTTTTGTGCTTACCATGAGGGCCACAAGATAAGGCATGATCAGGACTGTGTAGCAGAAAAATGCCAAGTTAATTTAATGTACATTTTCAAAACTTAAAATTTGGTAGTTAACCCATTTCTTTTATAAAGTCTGAATGGAAATAAGATTCTGAGGACTCTTGTCACTCTGCCCCTTCTTCTCTGGTTATGGGGACCTGGGGTGGCTACTGAACCCCGGGCAAATGACTCCAATTCCCCATGCCCCATTTCCGCAACTGTGCAGTGCAGTTCATGATGTGCACATATCTCAGCACTGTCAAGGACACTGAATTACAGGCCATGTGCAGAGCGTCTTACGCAGTGCCTGGCACATAGCACGTCCCCACAATTCTCAGAAATTTCACCCCTGCCTTTCTCTTCCCTTCCTTAAAAGTTTACTACCAAAACTGAAGGGTTTTCCAGTTCCAGAAAAGGCATACATCCTCCCTTCCGCTTCCTGGCTAGCTCTCCAAGAACTGTTTCTCCAGTTGAGAGGCCCACCCTCTGCTAAGCAGAGAGCTACCATTGTCCTGTCAAAGCACATCAGCCACACCCAATGTAGGATTACTAACGTTAATACTCTTCAGTGCAAGGCTAAGACCTAATTCCTGAAGGCTTGAGATGAAATGCTTCTTTCTTCCCTACAATCCCTTTTTCTCAGTGTTTGCAAAACTGAAACAAAAGATGTTAAGTAGATGAAACATATACTATATTAAGTAATGTTCAGTGAATGAAATATAAATATTCTATTTACATCACACATATACACAAACACACACACACACACACACACATAAAATTGCCCCAAAGCTGACATTTAAATTGAAAAACCTAAAGGAAAAGTCATAACCTATGTTTAGGTATATGTGTATATCTATACCTACATATATATATACACACATATAGGCACACACACATTTATCTTAATGCACATGTATGTGTACCTTCTATATATAGTGATACTGATTTTACCTTTACAGCAAAGGTATAGTATTTTTTCCTAACTGGATCTATTTAAGCAAAAGAAGTGAATCTACAAAAAGGAAATATGGCATTACATGGTACCAATGGAACTTGACAGAATTGTGAATGACCAGGTTTCGCTGATACAGTGTGGTCTTAGGCGGCTTGTTAAACATGCAGTCTCCCAGCCCTCTGCGACCTACTGATTCAGATGCTAGACATGTGCGCCAGGAAGCCTCAGGACTTTTTTTACACATAGAAGTTTGAGAACCACTACGCCAATAGCCCCTGGACAATGTTCACGCCTTTTTTTCACAGCATGCTTTGCACAAAGGTGGTTGTTTGTGCATTCCACGTCTGGTCAACACGATGCTATCTGCTTTGGATGGTGAAGCCAGTCAGTTCACCTGGACTTGAATGGGATCAGAAATGGCGCCAAATGCAGAGGAGGCCAGAACACCACACCAAGCGAGTGGCTGGGCAGTCACTAAGTGCAAAAGACCAGGTATCTAAAACCTTAGCTAAAACACTGGCTTGTTGTCACTGGTAGCAGTCATCTTTCCCCTGAAGGGTACAGATCAATTGGTAGTTCATGTTGTTTTCAGACTAGGTCTTCCTCACCTGAATGAACATAAACTTGCATAGGTAACAATTTTTCCATCAGGTTTTTCAACTTAAAGGTCTTACCTTTGGGGCAGGCTTATTCTTCTTGTTTTAAAAGCTACACAATTCAGCAAAAATCCATGCGTATTTCACCCACGAGCAACACAGTGGACCACAGACCTGAATCTAAGGACTTCATCACATTTACCGTGGATATCAGACCTTTACATATTCAGATACAAATGCAATACTGCATCTTACTATGTGGCTGCTGTCAGTGGTCTGAGCTCTGGTTGGTTTAAACTGTTCCCAGGTTTTGGTCTCTAAGAGAAGCATTGGCTGAATCCATCCGCAAGTAATAGGACAATCAACGTCGTTATTAGGATCTCTTTTTACACTAATTGTTGAGATTAAATGCTCAGTGTTCATGAACGTAAGTATTGGCAACCTATTGCCCATACAAATAAATTCCCACTTTCGAAGATGTATTGGTAGAGTTGTACACAAGTGTGGGTTAACATTACAGGGTTTAAAAAAAAAAGAACACACATATACCATTCAAATTCAGCATCGTTTAAAGCTCAGATCATCCAGGTATTTTGCTCAGGACTCATTTTTACTTTTCTGTGCTTGGAAAAGTAAATACAGGGAACAGACTGATGAGAATCTGTGAACTTAATAATACAAATTCATGGAGAAAGGATGGGCTAATCAATTAGTGTCGCTGGAACTAGTCATTCATGTAAGAAAAGTTAATATTTTGTATCTCACACCTCTATATAAAATTAAGTTCTTGGTAAATTACAGAGCTAAAAGTAAAAAAAGAAAAGTTACAAATACATAGCAGAAAATGTACTTATGAACTTGGGGTGGGAAGGCCTTCTCAAAATATAAAAAGTCCAAACCAAGGTGGCAAAAATGACTCCAACTTTTAAAAGCAGAAAGTAGGCACCAACAGATACCATAAACAATGTGAAAAATCTAAGCCATAGACAAATGGATTTTTTGAAGTTTAGGTATAGGGGCGTCTGGGTGGCTCAGTCAGTTAAGCGTCCGACTCCAGCTCAGGTCATGCTCTCGTGGTCCGTGGGTTCTGTGCTGATGGCTCAGAACCTGGAGCCTGCTTCGGATTCTGTGTCTCCCTCTCTCTCTGCCCCTCCCCCACTCTCACTCTGTATCTCAAAAATAAACATTAAAAAAAATTTTTTTAATAAAATTTACATATAAAAAGGGAATACCATGCAACATCTAAGATGAATCAGATGCCACATGTATCAATACTGATAAATCCCAAGAACAATGCTGAGTGAAAAAGACAAGCCGCAGATCAATATGCACATTTATACAACGTGAACACTACAAACCAATACCATATAATGTTATTAGCAGAATGCAAAAACATATACATGGTACAAAAACATGGAACTCCAGGATCGTGATTACCTCTGAGGAAAGAGATGGGGACACACATGTGGCATCGAGGATACCTGTCACGTTTTCTTTCTTGAAAAGAATCTGAAGCAAGCAAGGCAAACGATGGATGATGAAACAGGGGTGTTCTTTATACTATTCTCTGTGCCTTTTTGTGAGTTTTAACTGTTTCATACTTTTCTTTTTAATTAAATGAGACATAAAAAAGGGAGAAGGAGGAAAGGATGGGGCGTGGGCAGGAGTTAAAGAAGCATAAAGAGTGTAAACTGGCTTG